ATGCAGCTTTTCTCTTCTAATTTGCTTTTGAAAACTCTATCAGTTGGGTTTAGGGAAGGGGCTACGTGGGTCAGATGTTATCACATGCACATGGTGGCCTTTTGTGAATTTGTGAAAACTAAAACTGCAATAAAATGTAGTCCAGGGTACATATTTTTCAGCTCTCAAACATGTAGCTGTGGGTGCACATTTCCAATAATCCTGGGTTAGATATTTTCAAAACCCAACATGATTGATTTAATCAAACACAGTAATAGTTGCCAACATTAGTGCTTTTACAATTTGAATGCCAAACTGAAACTTTCAAAATTCATAAAGGATGCAAAAAGACCCATTTTACCTAAAAAATAAAAACAATTTAAGATGCATTTTCTTCAATCCAATACCAAGTAATCAACATTAAATGCAGGTGTAAAGACAGCCTAAATGCATTTAAGCTTGTCCACTTTTACCCACCTCCAGATGCGTTCAAACACATTTGATCCCTTTTGTAGTATAATGGCCCGTTTCCACTGAGTAGTATGGTTCGGTATGCTTTTATGGATGTTTCCACTGTCAAAAGGTACTAAAAAGTGAATTGTACAGTACCATTTTTGGAAGGGTACCTAGCGTAATTAAAGGGTACCAAAATGCGGAGCTAGACTTGCAGCTGAACACTATTGGTTTACAGAGATGCGTCACTCGCTTGTGCAAAAGCCAGGAAAATAAAAACCATGGAAGCGCCATTTTGAAATGCATAGACAAATTTTAAATACACTGTGCCATGTAGTTTTTACAAGGCCGTCTAAAGCACAAGTGGTTTTGCTTTCTTGCGTGTGCTTGCCTTTGTATATATTTGAAATAACAAACATTTTGAGCTCAAGATAATAATGTGCGTGTGATTTATTGAAGTGCTTCTTACATCCGATCCTTGATCAAATCGATCAAACTCGAGAGTGAAGCATGAAAAAGCAAAGGAGAACCCGGGAAAAAAAACAAAGGACCAAATGATTCTTTCAGCAACCTTAAAGATTAACACACTGCCATCTATAACTATTATCATCACCTTTGGGACTATTATGAACTAAGAATGACGGAATTACTTTCTAACGGGTTATATGTGCTGGTGAAGATTAAAGACACAGTTGAGAGGTTTGCACTGACTGTGAGCTATATGTTGCATGTTGTTTTTGAAGCCAAATAAGGACTAACTCTATGCTGTGTGTAGTTTTTCTGTAATCAGTAACATATCGGAGACTATAAGTCTTTATGTTTTCAAATGTTTTATTTATTTATTTTATATAATTGCAGACATTACAGTAGGTTATTTTGATCAGCAGTTATGTTCATAGAATTTATGCACAAGTATTTGTGTATAAAGCATCTGTTTTGTGAAAAGTGCTTCTCGTATGATATGTGAACGACCTGTAGAGATTTACTTTGACATTTCCTCGAGCGAGAATGAGGTTGACTGAAACTTTGTTGTACACCATTTGGTACCCTTTTGGCAGTGAAAACGTAAGCCTGATAAAGGTGACCCGTACCAACCCTTACCCTGCTGTACCACTCAGTGGAAATGATAAAATGATCATGATCATGTGGTCATATGAGTTTATATATCATATAGCCACTAAAGATCACTAACAATCTGCCTACTGACATAATGTAATTTGTTATGGGACATCTTTTAAGAAAGCGAGGTCACAAAACAATATTTATATTTCACTACATTGTACATAGCAGTCTCATCATTTTCATTTGCCTTTTTTATTTTCAATGGATACTAATGCTAGGTGTAAAGAGAGTCTTAGATGTGGTCAAAGCAACTACATTCCTTACACCTCCATACACGCTACTATTTACACCATTTGTAAAGCTGCTTTGAAATGATAATTATTGTGAAAAGCACTAAACAAAAAAACTTGAATTAAATTGAATTTCAAGTCCATCTTGAAGTAGCCTAAAACAGCCTAAAATGTTTAAAATGATATGAAAAGCCGTGGATAGTCATTGTGGACTCATGACTATTGTTTCAGTGACGCTGAAGGTATATGTGGAGGTGATAAATAGCATGCTATAAATATAGTGAATTATGGAGCTACGTAGAATGGTAGCCTACTATTTTAGTGCTTGCTGAATTTGCGATTTGTTGTCATTTTCATATTACTCAGCTGGTGTTATGTATAAATATTTCAGAGCTGCTTTTCAGAGGTACAGTGAACCATCACGACCTAACAAACATGTTGAGGAAAGAGTGCTTGGGCATTCATCTAAGATAAATTGTAGATATTTTTAAGTTAGGAATAACAATGATGCATTTTTATGTGAACCTAATGTATCTGATTCATTTTTCGGGCACTATATGTACTGTATGCATAATCATTAAATGAGAAATGAACTAATTGCATGCAAGAGGGACTGCCTTTTTTTTTTGTAACAAATGACTTTGTAATCTGAATACAAAATCCAACGTTTTCAGTAGTCAAGGCAACCGATTCAGATGTACATTTGAAAATGCAAAAAGGTGGAAGCTGCGTAAATCAAACATAACGATTATATAAGAAAGAGTAAGGAGCTTAACATCTGCCCCATTGGTTAGGGAACATTTGGATAAGTTGCTGGTTCTCACTGTTTTAATTAAAAGATGCTAACTGCACATTACTGTGTGTGTGAGAGTATCTTTATGCTTCATGAGGAACCAGATGCTATTCCTATTTCTGTATGGTAAATATAAGTGGCCAGTTTTTTTCATTACCAGGTTCATACTCAAATGAATGTCATGAAGCAGATGCAATAGCTCACTCAGTCCTAAAGGGTGTTGGTGACACAATGAATAGTAGTCTTGTCAAGGTCAAAAATACATTTGATTGTGCAACTAAGCTGCTTGGGGTTAAGTGCATATAAGAAGCTTTTATATCCATCTACACTGAAACCACAAGCCAAATCCAAGCGGTGGGAGTTTGTAGTGGTGATTTTTATTTTTCATTTCAGATTATAAAAGTCAGTTTTCTTAGCTTCTCCAAACTGTACTGTTCAACATTCTTACTCATCATGAAAATGCTTTTTTTTTGTGCACAAACAACTTTTTATTATGACGCTGTTGTTGTTGTTGTTATTTTTATAACTATTATTCATTCATTCATTCATTGTCTTTTTGGCTATGTCCCTTTATTAATCTGGTGCCATCTTATCCAGCATATGTTTTACACTGCGGATGCTCTTACAACTGCAACCCATCACTGGGAAACACCCATACATTCTCATTCACACACATACACCACGGACAATTTAGCTTACCCAATTCACCTGTCTTTGGACTTGTGGGGGAAACCAGAGCACCTGGAGGAAATCCGAACACAGGGAGGGAGAACATGCAAACTCCACACAGAAACACAGAAAACCCAACTGACCCAGGCGAGGCTTGAACCAGTGATCTTCTTGTTAAGAGGCCCATTTATATATATATATATATATATATATATATATATATATATATATATATATATATATATATATATATATATATATATATATATATATATACACATACTGGGTAACCACTATCAATAACAAAGGTGCGACAACAATCACGTTATTTGCTATTTGATCTTTTTTTTGCTTTGTCTCAAAGAAAATGAGTACACACAACCACTGAAATTAACTACTACAAACCTATTAGACCAGTATATGCTGCTGTGATTTTTGCCACAGATATGCACAAAAAAAGAGAAGACTTGTTCATGTTCATCTTGTGTTTGTATACGCTTACAAGATTTATAATGAATGCTTTTTAGAAAAGCTCTTGGGTTGTGCTGCAAAAGCTACGGAGCTCAAGCATGCAGTCTGCCATAATTGTTGTGTACTGTTACGCAATGTTGTAGCGTCTGACTGTGGTCAAGACGTGGGCTGATGACATTATCATTTCACAAAATATACAGATTGGATGCTCACACAAAAACACCAGGGTGTTGTTTTCAGATTCATCCACTTTGGAACCCGGTTTAAAAAATTGGGAAACAACTATTTGATACTAAATCTTTCTGTATTGATCTTACTCTTATGTTGCAGCTGGTGTAGCCATAAGAATATTATTGGCTTGAGACTTCTGGCCTGATTCACTAGCATTGATTAGATTTTTTTAACTATAATAAACAGCTTGTTATGCTGCTTGATTTTGCAAGTTGATGATTTTTTTATTATATTGATTATATAGATTTTAATGTATAGTCATAAACACTTGTTTGTAAAGCAAGTAGTTTGACCATTTGTTACTCCAAGTTATTTGTCCTATAGGCAATTAAATCGGAAGTCCTAAGACAATCACAGAAAATAGCTTATTTCCGCATTGCAGAGTTCGGTCAGTATAGCAAAAAGATTCTCCATGTGGTCAGAGCCCAAGGCACGGCTCTAAAATGCAGAGCTGTTTCAATCTTCAAAGTGAGCATAATAAAAGCAAGATCACATAGACATTGTGTGAACATGAAAGAACTTCTCTGTTCCACTACCATCTGTCAGCTTTCTTTGAGCTTCCACTGAAGTCTTTCACACTCCCCTCCATTTTTTTTTTTTTTTTTTCTTACCTTTTGACCATGATGCATTAAAACTGTCTAGATGAACACCACTGAACAATGGTTAGTCCAAGCATTTGTGGCCATAATTTCATAGTAGGTAGTATGGCGTCAGCATATGTTATTCCTGAAAATCTCTAACTGATATTTGTGGTATAACGGTGATGTTTGACGTACATTGGTGTTGTTCTACACCACAGGTTTTAACTACAATCACATGTGAATTCTTTTTAAAGCCTTTTCACTCATTTCCAAACCAATCATGATGCAAATTATGCTTAGAAAATGTTTGAATTGCAGCAGGTCTGTATTGTAGTCTGTATGTTTTTGATGATCACGCCAAGACTTTCAAACCTGATGAAGGCAAATAAGGCAAAATGTGTGGCGTTTTGAGGCTTGTTGAAACACATTTTGCTGCTCTGCACACACTGTAGAAAAGACAGGTGATCTTACCGAATTAGGTAGCAGCAGAAGAGTAAGCTGAGGATGAAGACGAATATGGCCGTCCCAAAGACGACAATGTAGATATTGAGAGGAAGGTTTTGGAACCCGATATTCGGCATCCTGAAACTGTAATGCTGTAAATCTGAGGTCATGGATAACCTGGATGGAAAACGAGAGGGAAAAGAAACATTAGATGGTGATTCATTGATCACAAAATGCTAGTGCAGATGAAAGCAGACCACATGGCCATTAGTGCAGTAAATCCATTTATGCTTTGTCAGCTCAATCCCAAAGGGAAATAATCACCCATGCACATTTAAGAGAAAGGCTCTCGTCAATATGACTGTGATTTGATATGTGACTTGGCTTGATTTCTAGACTGTTTCCACAACAACTGTTTATGCACCCAACAGACCAATGAATAAACTCATTAATGCTTTAAATTGTGCATTGGGCAGTGCATGTAATATTCCAGTAGAGAGAGTTTGAGAACATTGGTCCGGCAGGAGCCATTAAGCAAATCCCACACTGTCTGTCTGTGGGAAATTAGTGTTAACGAATCTATGAGAGTCAGCGCTGCTTTTGATTTGGTCTGTTATTATCGTGTTTTTATGTCCAGTATTTTAATTTCTTGGTAGCAAAATAATCGGAAAGCCTCAGATTTTAAACAAAGCTGAATATGGCTAAATTATTTAACATTCAAAACCAATTCAAATGTATCTGGACCCTAAGAGTTTATATTTTCATGTGCTTGGATAGCGTTATTAAATATAAATAAGACCAAACTTTTTTAAATAGGATACTTAAACCTTTGGAAAATCTGTTTAATAACATAATTGAAATGTGTCTTTAAAGGCAAGAGACTAGAGGCAAATTTGCAGTAAATGAAGTTGATTTCTGTCTATATTCTGAGTCTTTTGTTTGTATCTGTCTGTCTGTCTGTCTGTCTGTCTGTCTATCTATCTGTTGTGTAATTTAGGCCCCATCTGATACATTTTAGCAGTGGGGGTGTGTGCGCGCGACATTTTTAAAGAGCGGTGGGGGCATGTGCGCCCAACGTATCTGAAGAGCAGTGGGGGTGAGTTGTGCGCGACGAACCTGAAGAGCGGTGGGGGTGAGTTGCATTTTTCAATGAAAATGAAAAGAGGCAGTTTTGTTGTAGGCTTTGTTTTGTTATAAATTTGGATTCAGTGAAGATGACGGTCATATAAATATTTAGTTACATGACCCCTCAACATTTTTGGTGCATGTTAAGTTGTTAATATCGAAATAAAAATATCATATGTTTTCATTTTATTGTTAAGTTTGTGAAACAAAAAAAGCTAGGGAGATTTGAATAAGGTTATAAAGTACACTGTTCCCTTTGAAGATTTACCCGACGTGTCCCCAGGAGTTTGTTTTCCATATCATACTTGCGAAGTCTAAACTTTACAAGAAAATAATGCAAGACTGAACTTTGAGTACTTAATATTGAGGGAAAGAAAAGCCTTAATCACATAGGTGAATGTCTGCAGCCACACAATTTCAGACATCTTCGTTTTCCCCTATCCAGACTGACACAGAGCAGCAGCATTTTAAAACCAAAACAGCCTCTTTAGTGTTTTGAAAACTCCTGGGGTAGTGTGGACTAAAGGCATAACCATAGCAAAATTATGCGTTTTACCACTAAAGCGTATTAGTGTAAACGAGGCCTTCAATGCGGTGTTGGGAAAAATGGCAGAAAATGGCCTTAGCTCAGCCTAAACACAACAAAGGCTTCTCACCATAGTAGAAAAAAACTTAAGCAACTGCTTACAAAATATAGAGGGTTGTATTTTTTTTTCCTACAATCTAAAAGTCTAATTCAAGAACAAACGGAACCAGTAAAACATCCATACAATGGTTTTAAAAGTGTTTGTGTATGGCTCTTTGTTTATGTGTGAGAAATGACACTGGTTTTACTGGACATTAATAGGATGTTGCTCCTCCCAACAGGGGCATGTCCGGACATGCCTTTAGTAGATAAGACTAGAGTAACAGCACATGTGAGGCTCTGTGTATAAACAAAGGGGAGGTTGAAAAACTACTTAGTGATGTAACATCACATCCAGCGGATGGTTATCCATCATACTGGGTATATAGACATACTAAGAGCATTACTCTCCCTAAAAACATTGGACGCCTTAGACCTGTTCAAAAAAGCCAGAGCCTTGGACACATTCAGAAACGCTCCCACTTTCACCCAAATTCCTACAAACCTTAAACACACTGTTTACTTTCAATCCCAGAACTCTGCCTGTCATGTTCTGTCTCTGTCTGTTACAGCTCAACCCATGCGAAGCTTTCTGACAGATGAGGGTAAATAACCAAACAGAAAATCAATGAGCAGCTGCCTATACACACACTCTTTTATATCAATAACAGCATCCCTCAGAATTTCCAAAACAATATGTACTAGTAAACAGTTGTGTTGTTTTTGTTTTAAGGCTAGGTTGGAGGTCTGAATCTGTCTGGTCCAGGATGGTATTTTGCCTCTTATTCTTTTGTTTTGTTTTACAGTCATTACTCATCTGAGCCTCCGGTGCACTGGTTTGTCACACGGCCAAAACTTCTGACATTTTTAATGCCCGCAAGCACATAAGTCCATGCACTTGGGAAAACTCCACAACTTCAAGACAGGGAAAAGAATCCGGAAGGACCTACATATTAAAGGAATGAGGGGGTTGGGCATGTTGAATGGGTTCAAGACTGGGAGAGGCTCCCTTGGCCACAGTGCATTACTTTTCCTTCTTTTCTCCTCAGTGTGTCATGTATGCTACATGCTTACTTGCTTAATGTGCCACTTTTATATAACAAACGAAAGGAATGGAACTTATAACAAGCTCTGCCAATCAAAAAATGGCTCAAAAACATCTATTGGCACAATACTGCAATCACAGCACATGGGTGATTAGAAAAGTGTGCACTGCCAATCAAAAGTTTTGACTCATTATTGATATTTGTATGTTTTTGTTCTGAATCTGAAAGTATTTTTAATACCAAGATGGTTTACATAGCCACAAATTTTTAATCTAGCCCAATTTTATTAAAATGAATGATGAACAGTTTTACCCGATAAAAGAATATCATTCAGAGAGTAATCAAGAGTATCATTAGTATACATTCAAGTTTTCATACGAGTATTTAAAGAGTGAGTGTGCATATTCAGCCATAGTATTCACTGATGATAATAGAGAAACTTTAATTGATTTAAATCAAGGTCAATGCCAGGTTACAGTGAGCTACTCGGAGACAAAGTATGAGAGCTGGAAGTGTTTGTTACAACATCACTTTCACCCCAGTTAACAGTCACAACATTCCAAGCGAGACTTGTGTTTGTGTTTATTAACCATAATGAGGGCAAATCGAGTGCACAATGAAATTTTGTTGGGTATAAAAAAAGTCTACAACAGCCTTTAGTATGTGTCGATGTCAACATTTTAAACCAACATTAATAAACAATAATCAACAGCTTGCTGTGGCCAAAACAATAACCATTAAATCTGATAGTAGCAATAGTCAGTAATCCTTCAGATTAGATCATCGTAACTGAGGTGTACACTGAAAAACCCAAAAAGATAACTCAAGCTATTTAAGCTACTTAATTAACTCATTATCTTCAAGACCGTTTAAAACTCCTTTCAAATGAGTAGAATTAACTTTCAGTAAATTAAGTTCACTACACATTTCATTGAATAAAGTTCACTGTTGGAATTTACAGAGTAGTAAAGATTAAAACAAAACAATAAAGCAAAACAAGTTAATGATCTAAAACAATGCCGTTTAATTCCATTTTTGCTAGCAGTAATAATGAACCGAATTTATCCAGTAATTACTATTTCACTGCTATTTTAAATACACCAGCCCTATTTTTCGCGAAGCAAGTTTTATCATGTAGGTAATAAACCTTAATGAGGCTCTCATACTTCAGCAAACCCTTTTTCTGTCTGCATTGTCTAGCTGCTGCTGTCCTCATCCAATTTAGCTTTGGTGTGAGTTTGTTCCAGCACTGAAGAAAGAAAGAAAGCCATTCAAACAGAGCTGGCTCTCGTACGCGGCTTTATAAAGTTGAAGCTGAAGCGTTTTTTCCAGATAACAATCAATTTTTACTTTATGACCATGAGTAATTTTAACAGATCGTAAATTTGAAGCACTGATTTATAGCAGAATTGATTGCAGTTTATGGCACTGATAGGAAAAAAATCCTGTGTTTGCTCATGACATAACAGAAATTCACATTGGGAGTGTAAGGGGTTTTCCCCACATGTAACCCTGTGATTCTGAGATGATGTTTATTAAAAGAGAAGTAGACCTATATCCTTCCTTTCATTCTCGATGGAGCGCAGTAAGACAGTTACGTAACTTTCATGAACCCTTGCATGTACAGAGAAGCTCCAATAGTGAGCAGGTCAGATTGTCTAAAAGCTTTTGAAAGTACATGCCAGATTAACAAAAAGGAAATGAGCAAAGCATTGCAAAGGTCACAGCAGGGACAGTTTTAAGGAAATCTCCCTGTATACCAGAGTGACAGTTTCACGCACCAACTTCTGCTGGTCGAGACATTCGCAGACAGCAAATGTATAACGGAGCCACTGTCCTGCTGAGGAAAACAGCCTCCAACACAAAAGGTGTTTTGAAGTGTCTGTCAAGTCATTGCTGCCACCAAAAAAAAGGGGATGTGAAACTAAATAGCCCTTTTTTTCCTGATCTTCTGTACCTCTGGGTGCAATATCTAGTCTCTTTTCACCCCTACTTCCCATCATGTCACTGAACTGACCAGACAGGGTCATTCTGCAGTGTTTGCCTTGCAGTAACGACAATGCCAAATGGTATTTTCACCTCCAGTGAGGAGGAAAAGCATTTCAGTAGTGCACTGAGTCACTCGGAGCTAAGAGGAAGAGCAGAACACTGAAGTGGCCCTTGCTTTTGCATTTTTACTGTCATAACATATAGGTTTCTTTAAGAAAGCAAGCTTCTAGATAAATACAGCAGTTCTCATACAGTAAAGCCTGAGACTGAAAAAATAAAGAAACAAGATTGACTATATAGTTTCCTTTTGATCATGCACTATTTTCGTTTTATTAACTAAAGTATCAGGAAGTATAAAAATAAAGTCTCAATTAGGGCTACACAATATATAA